ATCCAAACATTACTTTTAAGTTAAAAGGCAGACTCTGGACCTAGTTGGCTCTGCCATGTACTAGCTTTTCATCTCACCTCCTTTTGCTTCAAATCCCTATGTAATTTGGAGATTGTTGAATTACTGATGATTAAATGAATGAATATATGTGAAGTGTTTAGAATAATGCCTGGATGTTTTCCCTAGGGGAGAAAAAAAGAATAGTGCCTAGCCTATAGTGAATACACAATAAGTGTTAAGAATAAAATGCCTAATAGTTCAAGGGTGAAAAATAAGGGGAAAAAATATCCAGTTTTGAAAAGAGAAATATTTTCAGACTGAATAGGCTGAGAAAGCTATTAATTAGTAACCAAAACCAGGAAATAAAAGCACTGGAAACTTAGCATACTTAGCTCAGTTTTATAATAGAATAAATACACAAGTAGGAAAAAAAAAAAAAAAAGACAGGAAACTACCTGGAAAAGTTAATAGTGAACTGGGCACCAAAGCAAACCAAATACTCCACTTTACAGAGCATATTAGAGGAGGATAAATAATGCATACAAGGCCAGGCGCGGTGGCTCACACCTGTAATCCTAGCACCCTGGGAGGCCGAGGTGGGTGGATCACTCAAGGTCAGGAGTTCGAGACCAGCATGAGCAAGAGGGAGACCCCGTCTCTACTAAAAAATAGAAAGAAATGATCTGGCCAACTAAAAATATATATACAGAAAAAATTAGCCGGGCATGGTGGCACATGCCTGTAGTCCCAGCTACTCGGGAGGCTGAGGCAATAGGATCGCTTGAGCCCAGGAGTTTGAGGTTGCTGCGAGCCAGGCTGACTGACGCCACAGCACGCTAGCCCAGGCAACAGAGTGAGACTCTGTCTCAAAACAAACAAACAAACAAATAATGCATACAGTTACTCTCTGTTGCTCAAAGGGAGACTGCAGGAAAATGATATGAGAACTACTGAACGACAGAAAATAAAAATCCCCAAATACACAGAATCACCTTTGAAGTTAGTCTTCTCACTCCTCCCTACCCCCAAAATCAAATCTCAGTCTAAGCCTCTATATCCAACTACCAATTCACAGGGAATCAGGAAAATCTAGAATGTGGGAAACTCTGCAGAACAAATGACCTGGTTTCCTTAACAAAGTGCAAGGAAAAAATCTGAGAAACACAAAAAATAAAAGAGGCTTAAAAGAATGTCAGCCAATTGCAGTGTGTGGGACCCAGATCCTGAGTCAAATGAATTAGAAAAGTCAACAGGAAAGTAATATCTAAGAAAGAAAAACACCACTCCATGTGCAACAAATCTGTTCGGATTTCACAGAATTTTGCTGGTTTAGTGTGTAAGAGAATGTTCATTAAACAGAATTTCATTTAACAGTCATGAAGAGCTTACTATGATCAGACATTATATCACCCAAATTACTTAGCTTCTTGGAACCTCTGTATATACTCACTTGTAGAAGGGTTGATACCTATTTTAAACAAGTGTTGTAAGGAATGAGATTATATATATTGGACTGTATTACAGCATCTAGCTTATGAAGCCCACAATAAACGGTTCCCATTCCCCTTTCTGTCATAACTGGTAAGACTAATTAAAAAGTAATTTACAACAAGCACAAAAACTGAAATAGCTCTACCTTAAAATTAACCAAGGCGCCCCCCCAAACCAACTTTTCTACATGCTTATGAACTTCAAGGATAGTAATAGTTCAGGTAAGAATTTTTTATATACTGAAAATTTAAACTTATGATAAGCAGAAATAGAGTTTAGAAGCTAAATGCAAATATAGCCAAACTTAAATGAATAAGACTTTTCTGGAAAAAAAATTTCTTATTCCACACAAACCTACTGCTGAGAAACACAGTACTAAAACATATTCATGCTGGTGATTCTCTAGCCTGAAGTTTGGTTAACAAAAGGCAAAGTAGTTTACAAAAGGAAGGTGAACCTAAGGAGTATGTTAAAATCAACTCCTTTTAAAAAGATGGCTTTCTATGTTGTTATTCTGCGAGTATTTTTGTGCTTATCTATTAAACTGTAAAGTTCTCTGATGGTAGGAATAATGTTTTATGCTCATCCAGATAGTCCCACCCTCTAGTACACTAAAAGTGGCACCATAGTACAGCTTCAGTGCTTCTTAAAAAAATGAATTATTGAGCTGTTTGGCCTGAAAGATGAAAAATAACTGGCTGAACAGATCGAATAAAGGCTGATTGTTTATTTTAGTAAAGGAAAATAGGCTCCTGTAAATATTTGCCTAGTATATTTGAAATCACCTATAAAAATTGAATTTACATAACCTTAGGAAAATACCTACCTCATTAGTTAAGCTATACCTGTGGACAAAAGAAGTTCAGTTTCTCTACTGACCTATTGTTCAAGACTGATTGTAGGCAGTTTTGTTTTGGGTAGATTTCAGTGGCAAAGAGCAATCAGGGTCTGATTTAGAAGTATCTTGGGCAGTGAAGTCTCCAATAGCAAAACCACATGTTAAATTCCAGACAACAGCAACTATAGCCACTTTTGAGGTAACATGTTATCTCTCCACCACCTAGATTTCCCCCCTCATCTATCTAAAAAATTGTAAATACACCAAAATTTGCCTTTTTCATCAACTACTTTTTTTAGTTGGGATCCCTTAAAAGTTTTTTGTGCCTTTCATCTTTAGACCAATAGTCTTACTTTTATGTTTAAAGGCAGCAACCTTAACAGTTAAGCACAACAGATCGTCTAAATTTGAATACAGGCTCTGTTATCTACTAGTTGAGTAAGTCTCTGGACTCATTTTCCTCAACAATAAAATGGGGGATAAAACAATATCTACTCACATAAGTAAATAATAAATATAAAGCACTTTAAGCAACAGTCCCTGGCACATTAGAATTATAACCATAAAACAAAGATAAGCAATCTGCTCAAGTATGATTCACGATTGTGTTTTATACTTAAGTAAGCGTTAAAAATGAATTATATACAAAGATTGCCCATGCAAAAAAGGAAAAACAATTATACGCAGAAATGTACCCCAGATTTCTTATCATTCCAAACTCATTAAAACAGTTGAATGTGCCCTCCGCAGCTAAGCTTTCAAACAGCCACTGATGAGAAATCTGGTAAACTGAATTCACTCAAAATAAAGAAGGCTCCCCAACATTTACCCCCTCAAATTTCAAGAGCTCTGATAAGACAGCATCCAGAATCAATTGAAAGAATGTTTATTTCAGCACATACAAAAGTATTCTGAGTACCCCCTCCAAAAAAAACATGGAATTAAATTAAAAGTAAGGTCTCACCCAAGTCCAGTAGTCAACAATGACAAAACACAAAGCAACTAACTTGCAATTCCAATTAGAAACTTCAAATGTTTTTCCTGTAAAACCACCAAAATAATTTAAGAACAAAAAATCTCTAGGAGAATTGACAAAAATAAACTTTTGTGTTTGAAAAATGTAGAAAGGTACACGGAAACTAATTCCCTAAGAAAGATGACAGTTTATTATTAATTTCAAAGTTCTCATTCACAAGTAGCATTTCATTATTTTATCGTTTAAACAGATTGCAACATGAAACTCAAGCACTTTCCAAACACTGAAATTTACTGTTTTTCGTTTCCAATTGATGCTTTTTGTTTAGTTAAAACTTCTGGATTTACTGGCTTCAAAAAATCGATTAAGACAGCCTTTTGTTTAAAAGGGCACAACAATCAGGCACTCCACACCGAATGTAGGTTTTCACCCGTTAAAATGTCTTACACTATTCTAGTAAATGTCCCAAACTTAAAAGCACCCTATTTTCCTTTCAAATATTAGATATCGAAGACCTTGGAAAAGATCAGCAGTCGACCAAATTACAAATTTAAGCCTACTGAGGACTACTAATCACTTTACTCTCGGATGGGGTTCACACAGGGACGTGACTAGTTAGTATAGTAAACTATGAACCACCATTAACTCCGTTGTTTTCCTGGTAAGCAATAAATATCAAAGTTAAAAACAAGTATTTCAACAAATATGACAAGCCAACCTCAGAGCACAAAGTTGGCAGATAGAATTGACACCACAGCACAATTTCAAAACTATAAGCAACTACCCAAACAACCAAAAAAAAAAACCGCACCCCACCCATACTTATGCAAACTTTTGGGAGTAAGCAAACTTTGTGAGCCTGAACTTTGTTTACACCCAGCAAAAGGAGTGTTAAAGATAAGATCCCAATAGCAAAAAGACCAAAAGATTCAGTTAATGCCCCCACAGGGGAAAAGACTAAAATTTTAATACATTAATGTATTTAAGTTACCGAAGGGCAGTGCACTTCCCCAAGTTACAGCCATTTTAGATTCAGCCTTTCTTTTAATTTCACAAGTTGGGGAGAAGTAGATTTGAAACAGAAAAAAAAATACTCGTTAAAACATTTCAGGATCGACCAGTTTTGGGTTTTTTTGTTCAAGAGAGGACAGACGGTAGACATTGAATACACTTAACCTAAAGAAAAACGCCTCACTACCACCGAGAACCGGAACTCCGGGGGTTAAAACTCTTTTCCCCTCAGCTACCCCACATTTGACTCACACGACTTTTTCCTCCTTAGGTTTTCCTTCGAAGGAAAACAAAAGCCCTTAGCTCTCACTTTGAGGACGAAAGAAAAAGAAACCCGTAAACCAAACCACTCAAGCAGCACCAACCAAGCCGGATTGCTTGGAGAGGAGCCAAAGAGCCGCAGGTGAGCGTTCCGACCCGAAGACCAAAGTTGAAGCAGGAGCGCTCTCGCAGAGCCGCGGCGACGCTCGCGTGCAAATCTCCACGCACGGGGGTAGGAGGGTGCCCGGTGCCGATGTTTTCGACCCGTGGGCTCTGCTCGCCCCTCTCCGGTCGGACCTACACCCAACCACCTGTGTGAGAGCTTCTTTCAACTAGTTTTAACAGCTGGTCGGTTAGGCTCCGGGCGGAGCCCCGCGCTGGGACGACTCCCCTATTGTCCTGTTGTCCCGAACTCCCACTCACCGGGCAGCGGCCGGGCTACGGCCAGGGACGAGACGCGGAGTCTGAGGACGCGTCCCCAGCTTCTCGACCCGGCAGAGGTGGCTAGCCCACAACCATAACAAAGCTCTTCCCAAAATGGCTGCCCGGCCCACAAGGCCCAGAAGGGGCACAGCGGGTGAAGGAGGAGGAGCGACGACCAGCACTGCCCCCCGCCTCCCCCTCCGACCCCGCCTCACACACACCCACTTGCAGGAGCGCGCGCATGCGCAAGGGACCTGCTCCCGTGACCCCCGCCGAGGACGCCGGCGCCCCACGCTGCCAACGTTCGGCCGCGCGAACGGCGGTTATGCCTTGTCCCAACCCGGGTTCCCTTCAACTTGGCTCCAGGCGGCGTGTGCTCGCCCCTGCCCCCCTGCGGAGTTGAAGCCTCTGCCTTTCCTCGCGCTGCTTGAAGGACGGCGACAAGCCCCGTTTAGTACTTCCCTGCCCAATACTAAGGCCTGGGCGCGTGCGAATGAGTGGATGGGTGTGTTTATGTGTACCCATTCTTCCCCGCCCCTTTTTTCTTCACCCTCCCACAACCCGCATGTGGGCAAGCACGCGTCCCCAAACTACTTCTACGAGTACTAGCAAACCACTTTCGGAAGAATGTGTTTTCCGACCCCTTCCCACCTTCCGCTCCTTCACGTGTGCGCGTCGTTGAGACTCCAATCCCCAGCGGACCACACGGCCCGGCTCCGGAGGCCTGCGCGGCTGGGTCGGCCGCGGTACCCGCTGGGAGTGGTAGTTCCTAGGGAGGGGAGGCGCCACGCCTCTGCTTCAGCGCCAGGCGGGTTTTGGCCAGAGTCTGCGCCTTTGGCAGTGCTAAGAAGCCGTCCTACCCGAAGTCTCATTGGGTATCGCAGGAGGAGAAGGGGCGGTGCTGCCATGACAGAGAATGAAAGAAAAGTGAAAGCCTAGCTCGTCTAAAAGGTACTACTGTGAAGACTTAACTGTGGCCCCATCCGTCTTGGAAAGCTAAACCATATGAAGGCTGGCAATCAGGACTCTATCTAGAATCTGGAGGGATGAAAGAACTGGCTGTCGTGGGCCTCTGAGATCTATTACTTGTTTTCAGTTTTACCTTTAGAGAGGGAAAGACATTCAAATTACCATTTCCTTTGACCGACTGTGAAACAAGAGGCCCAGAGGCGAGAATGGACTTACCCAAGGCCACACAGCTGAGAAATAAAGCGGAGGATGGCAGGAGGAATGATCTGACTTTCTACCCCCAAGCCCAAGGCTTTTATCACCACAGCTTTCATGGAGGTGAAAATCCTGCCCCTTGTGCTCTTTATTACTTAATGGAGTTTCTAGGTCGTAGCAGTGAGAATGGAAGTATTATAGAAACTGGCCTCCCCTCTCCCTTTAAATAATATTAGCAGTTAAGGACCGAAATGCGGAGTGAGATGTGCCCCACGGGTCTTGTAAGCCCTGTTGTTTTAGAAAGTAAAAAATTAGTTCTAGAGATGGCAAGCAATTTGGCCAAGTCACCCTTGGGTTAAACTCCCAAGTCTCTTACCTTCCTCCGCCATCATCACTCTTCAGATCCCGGGCAGATTCTGCTGGCTGGAAACTCTGGACTTAGAGAGTCAAGGACCGTTCAGGTACCTGTTCAACATCTGACTTAAACTAGAATTAAGATTTTTAAAAGAATGGCCCCTAAACAGAAAGCCAAGCGTGGGAACCAGTTAGCACAGGTCAAGTTCCCACCCGGACTCATTTTTTTTCAGTAATCAGGAAGTGGGGGGGTTGTCTAAATCCACTTGCCGGAAGTGTCTTCCGTGAGTGTAGCGCTGTTCTTGCAACTTAGCTTTCCACCTTCCCGCGCGACTGTGGCAAGTAAGTATCAGGGCCATCGCAAGTGCAGGTTGGGAAAGGGACACCAAGGGTTGGTCGTAAATTGGAGACGTGGGCACTGTCGGGCTAGGTTTCCCAAAGACACTGGTGCCTAAACTCCGCCCCCCTTTATCAGACGGTTCGAGGCTGGTTGCCGATCTTTTTTTACTGGGGCAGTCGGAATATTGGTGTTTTCATCTAAATCGGGCAGATTAACCCTTAGGTTTGTGTCCTTAATCCCCGTACCACCTGCTGTCCCTGGCCCTTAGCCTATCACTTTTCACTTTAATACCACTGAGTTGGAAAGTACGTGCTACAGTGGATAGGGGGTTCCTGAAGATGGAGGGGAGGGGTGAGCTTTTAAATGGAGTGGTCCCAGAAGTCTTCACGAACAAAGTGATTTTGAGCAAAAGCGATGGGTGGGCTCTGTGAATATTTTAGTCTGGGAGTCCGGAGGGTTGAGGAGGTGAGTGTGGTCTAAACGCTACTCGGAGGCCTGGGATAACTTACCTCTCTCTACTTGATTCCTTAGGTGTAGAATAAAGACATTGGTATACAGGATTTCTCGACCCAGCCCTAATATCTGTGATCAGGAAATTAGTTCACTAAATTTATTTTTTTAATTAAGCAGTAACTGTAGATTTTGTCTTTTAGACACCTCTTTCTCCTGCTTAATGGGATTGTCAAATCTGGATTCATATTCTCATTCAGCTGCTTACATTAGATAGATTTCTTAACCAGTCTTTCCTGTGTAAGGTGCTTACTTTGTGTGCTTACAGTTCTCAACTCTTTACATATATTAACTTATTAAATTTTACATCAATCCTATGATGTAGTTGTTATCTTTATTTCAAAGGTGAATGAACTGCAAGTTTAAATAACTTGTTCAAAGTCCCACAGCTAATAAATGGTAAAGCCAGGATTCCCACCAAGATTTTGACACTAGACTGTTCTATCTCACAGTACCAAGTTGATGAGGTTATTGTGAGCATTAAATGAGTTGATGCATATAAAACACATACAGTGCCTGGTTCACAGCTAAGGTGTATTGGCAGCTACTGTCATTATTTTGAGCTGTAAACGCTTAAGCCCCAAAGTAGATAACTAAGGAGAAAAAAGGGGAACAGAGAAGCTATGACTTTCAGATATTTTTCCTTCTTTAAAAAAAATCTGACAAAAATGCTATTCAGAAGACCTTCAGTTTTAAAGAAGAGAAAACTGACACTCGAGCAATTTGCGCAATGTCACACAGCTAGGAAGAGGTGGAGGTGCTTGTAAAATACAGATCTTTTGTCTCTGTGCATTACTCTTTCTGTTACACCAGACAACCAATGCTGAAAGAACAGTTCAAGGGAGGAAAAGATGTATTTCCTTACTATGTTACTGATACTTTGAAAACATTAATGATTCTTTTCAAAGGAAATTGTGTTATATGTGAGAAATTCTTCATGAGTTACTACTGTTAAAAATTAATGTATAAAATGAGGAAAATTAAGTGACATCTTGTTTTATACACAGCAACATGCTTCTGATTCAGCCCATCTACTTAGCTGTAAAAATACGTTAATCAGAACTGCCTGGCATCTTCCTGAGCAAGACTTTAAATAGTGCCCAGTATGCTTCACTTCATCCAGAAGTTTTCTCAAGCATCTTCAAAGGTTGGTTTATTTAGCAAATATTTGAGCACAATTTGCCAAGCAGTGCTCAGGGTAGCACAGTAGCAGTGAAAAAGACAAAAGTCCTTATCCTCATGTATTCAGGTAAGGGGAGAAAGAGTTGGGTAAAATATTTAATATGTCAAGTGGTAAGTGTTTTGGAGAACTATAAAGCAGGAAAGGGGAATAGGGAAGATCAAGAATAAATGTAGGATTGCACTTAGAAATAGGGTGATCAGAAATAAGAGAATAGGCCATGCAGGTAGCTGAGGGAAGAGCATTCCAAATAGAGACAAAATAAGAAAAGGTCCCAAGATGAGATCATTCCTAGCATGTTTGAGGAATCACCAAGATTCTTAAATAACTTGTGTTTTTTTCTTTCATCCAACACTTTAGTTGCAGTCTGGCATCTGCTCACTAAATAAAACACAGAAATCTGCAGGAAAGGTTATTACTTTGGCCTTGTACAGTGAAAGGCACTGGGGATTTTTTTTTAAAGGCAAAGGAAAAAAAAATGGTCCTGGCTCTGAAATCTGAGACAAAGACAAGTAAACACAATTTTAATTCACTGTGAGAAGAATTATGATGGAAATGTGCATAGGGTATTTACTATAGCAGTATTAAATCAGACTGGAAAGGGGTTAAGGAAAGCTTTAAGCTGGATTTTGAAAGATGAGGTAAGTTCCCTAAATAGAAAACTAGTAAGAACTAGAATTCTAGGCAGAGACATGTACAAAGGCATGGAGCTATGAAAAGTATGCAGTGTTTATAAAGCTAAATTGGAAGGTAGATTTCTTTTATATATATATATAAAATAGCATTCTCATAGTAATCAGTGCTGCTGCTTTTGTAAGTTGTAAATAGAAGTGTCAGTTTAGAAGGCCAGCTGCTAAAGATCTAGTCTTTACCTGCTCCTCTTTCAGATATTTCTCTCATAGGATGAGATTAGTGGTTGGTTGAAATATATCATTGGTTTGTATTCAGTAGTTTCTTTTACATGTTATATAACTGTTTAATACTCTTATCAGCAATAACATCTGTAGTCAATTCAGCCTTTCTGTACAGTTTGATGTGCTAACAGAAAGCAGACTTGTTCGTTTGCTTTTTTTTTATTGTTTCATATTGGGATTTACTAAAATCTGGTGATATGTATTTTTTTAATTTTGTCTTCCTAGTCTCACAAAAAAGGAAAAACGTTTAAAATGGCATCAGAATATAAATCAGGATATGGTATCTTTGTATAATATATTCAAATGTTACTTAACTCAAATTTCATAAGTAAATTATGGTCTGGTTCTATTTTCTTTGTAGAGGCTGAAGTACCTTTTCCCGATGGGACTAGGAGCCATCAGGAAAACAGATACACTTTCTCTCAAGACATCTCTCCAGCAGAACTTTTCCCCTTGGTTTCCAAGGCCTTGGCTTTTGTCATCCTTTCCAGTGTGTATGAGCAAGACACAATGCTATCATACATCCCCATGCAGCTTTAAGAAGAAGCAGAAGCAAGTAGTACTTCCAGCCAGGCCACCAAGTACCATCACTTACCTGCCTGACAGCCCAAAGCCAGCATTATATGTAGCTTTGGCAGGACTAATCCCCTTCATTGCTCCACCATTGTTTATGCTGATGACAAAGACTTATATCCCTGTATTAGCTTTTACTCAGATGGCTTATGGAGCCAGTTTCCTATCTTTCTTGGGAGGGGTCCGATGGGGTTTTGCTCTGCCAGAAGGTAGTCCAGCCAAACCAGATTATCTTAATTTAGCTAATAGTACAGCTCCTCTTCTGTTTTCATGGTTTGCCTTCCTTATTTCTGAAAGACTCAGTGAAGCCATAGTCACGGTAATAATAGGTTTGGGGGTAGCATTACACCTTGAACTTTTTCTCCTGCCACATTATCCCAACTGGTTCAAAGCCCTGAGGATAGTAGTCACCTTATTAGCCTTTTTTTCATTTGTAGTCACCTTACTAGTTAAAAATATTTATCCAGAGAAAGGACCTAAGAGACCTGGTCAAGTAGAATAACTATAAAACTACATTGTAGATGATATTAGTATGCTGGCTGTAAGCCTCATAAGGTTGTATTTTGTCATCACCTTTTCCTACTTCTGTTTGGCTCTTTTTTTCCCCCCACCAATGGCAATTTGTTCTTCACAGATGGTTTTTCATTTCTAGAAATCCTTATTCCATAGCAAGTACTTAAGCAAGAGTTTGAAAATCCCTGACAAATGCTTTTCATCTCATATTAGGTTAGTTTTCATTCAGACTTTTTATAGTCACCCACTTAAACATTTCAATGTTTTAATTGTCTTGAAAAATATAAAATAAAGATGAAAAATCCCCTTTGTTAGAGTCTTATGATCATTAAAATGAACACACACATTCTCCCACTTCAAGAGGAAAACCTCATATCCATGAGTATCTGAAAATAAAAGGTAGTTCCAGCATGGAGTTTTCACAGCAGTTGTCCCTGGGAAATGCATGTCCAAGCTTTTTTTTACCTGATATAACCCAGTTATAAGAGCTGAAAGGATCTATGGCTCTAAAGTCAGAAGGGAGCAGTGTCCTGAGGGAGAGCCATGTTTGAAAAAAATGGTGGACACATTTTCCAGTTTTTAATCAGGATATTTGGCATGGTATAGATGCAACTTCTTATCACCAAATGTAATACCAGCTGGTCAAAAATATTTAAAATAAAAAAGCCACCAGTTAAAGAGATACAAGTAGAATTACC